TACTGTAACCCTCATAGTCCTAAAATCATGCAACCCAGTCATAGCATAAACTGAGACATGTGGTAGAATAGCCCCCTGATCATCAGTCTCTAAACCTTGACCTATCATAGTCAAAAATTCAGCAGGGTCTACAAAAACTTCTTGCTCTAATTCCACAATACCTGCATTGTCTTCCTCTACTTCCATAGAAAACAATTGCCTCTTCTTCTTACATACATGCCCATACACATACTTTTCATCACAATTGAAACACAGGCCCTTGCTCCTCCTTTCTTCCATTTCAGCAGGTGTTAACATTTTGACATTTTTTAGGTTTGGCTTGGAGTTGTTAGAGAGGGTAGAGGGATTTTTTTGGGTATTCTGATGAACTCTGTTGGATTGGTAGGTAGATCCATAAGAAAAAATGGGATTGGTGGTGTCAAATCTGGGAGTAGTTTTGGGATTATAAGGCTGTGAAAAAACTTGCTGCTGAACCAGAAGTGTTTGTTCCTGCATTCTAGCTAAACTAACTGCTTTAGCTAGAGATCTAGGTCCTAACATCTTAACAGGTAGGCCAATTTCTGGTTTAAGACCCCTCACAAAACAGCTAACAACATAGTCTTCTGAAAGTTCTACTCTAGTGAGTAGTTTATCAAAGCTATCAACATAAGCTTGTACAAAATTAACTTGCCTGAGATCCTTGAAGTCTCCCATAGGATCATCATACAGCTCAGTTCCAAATCTGGCAAACAAACACCTCACGTAATCATCCCAGTTAGGCCATCCTCTGGTCAATCTCTGCTTCATATACGATTGATGCCACTGCAAAGCTTTTCCATCCAATTTGAAGGAGACAATCTTCACCTTTACATCTGGAGAAGTTTCATCTACATCGAAAAACTGCTCGCACCTATAGAGCCAATCTTTTAGCCCAGTTCCATCAAAATGAGGAAGGTCAACCTGATAATTCCTATTATCCACTGGACAATTGTGATTGAGAATTGGAACTCCTCTGTCCCTGTTATCATCATGTGCTCTCCGATCTTCTCCATCTCCATTTCTAGGGTTCACATTCTCTGTCAGCAATTGTTTAATATCTTCCATGGCCTGCGCCACCTTCGTATCCATCGATTGTTGCAATTCTGTCACAGAACTAACAACTCCTTCCATGGAACCCTTCAATATATCAACCTCCCGTCGTAATTCTTGCATACGAGTGTTGTGATCGCCCATTGTTGCAGGTCAGAGGATTTCTGCGCTCTGATACCAATGATACAAACAGAATTAAGATGAGTAAGCCTAAAGGGAAAAGTATTGAATTGCCCTTGAACAGCTGTGCTCGATTCCCTTCAAAGAAAGAGAAAACTGATAGAAGAGAAAGAAGAGAGAATTTTCTTATTGATCTCTAAATTGATACCCATTACAATGAAAGATCAACTATATGTAGCTGGACTATTTCTGAGAGTTAGTTATAACTAACTCTTCTAACAACATTTCCTAACGGTTTCAGTTTCACACCCATGCTTAGTCACGTGACTGCTTCACTTAGCTAAAATACAAGCATATACAAATTGGAATTAATGAAATGAACTAATTGGCATGTAACAAACAACCATATATCAACCATTTTAATTATTATTTAGTAATTCAATATTTGGTATGGTATTCAGAGTAAAATTTTAGAATTATGGTGTTTGAGTTTGGGTTTGGTATTAGATATTGATACCATTTGGTATACGATATTTTTCATATACCAAATTATTTACTTAATGAAGGTCCTATATCAACATATATTATTCAATTCAAGTCCAAAAAAAGAGTTAAAGAATAAACATAAACAGTCCAATTACATATGTCTTTTGTATAATTACTCATTAGTTCAAGTTCAAAGAGAAAGTTAAAGAATTAATAAGCATAAACAATCAAAATACATGTGTCGTTTAGTTGTATCAATTTGTTTTTCTTGATGTCTTCTTACTTGTAGATCTTCTGTTATTGTGCCTTCACATAAAAAATAAAAATGATTGGAGAAATGGCATTAACTTTGTAATACAATCGGCTATAACTTCAATACAGTATTACCGAATACCGTACCAAATCGGAGTTTATTTTACCGTTTACCGAACCAAAATTTAATAATTTGGTAATGATATCTACTTTTAACTACCAATTATCGAATCCAAAGTTTGAGAAACCCAAACTGAATACCGAACATCCACCCCTCTAGACTTACATTATATTATATACTTTTACAATAAAAATTTATTATAATAATTAAAAAAAATTATATAAACAATATATAAATAAAGAGATTTGACTATATTTTATGTGACACACTTTTCTTTTTAATCTAGGGATAAGAGTCTGAAAAATACCCCCAATTTTTGGTCGAATTTGTTGCTGCGATACTAAACTTTCATGAGGACCTATTACCTCCCTAAACTATTTAGTACCGTATTTTTTACCCTTCTGAACTATTTAATAGTGTATTTTAAAGGTATATATGTGCTCACGTGGACACATTACTATTAATAATTTTGCATTATTTTTTATGTCCACATGGGCAAATATATATGTTTAAAATACGGTATTAAATAGTCTAGGGAGGTAATAGGTCTTCATGAAAGTTTAGTATCACAACAGCAAATTCGACCAAAGTTGAGGTATTTTTCAGACTCTTATCCCTTTAATCTATTTACATATCTTACTGTACTTAGAAATAATTTAATTTTAAATTTTTATTTTTACTTTTAATGATTTATAATCATATAAATATTTTACGCTACAAGTTTTATTAATTTTTCCTTCTTAAAAAAAATATATTATCTCAAATCAAATAGACTGAGAGAGTAATGAATGTTCACATGGGAAGAAATACCTTATTTATAATTCTCTGGCAGCAAAACATGTGCTGGCGTGAGATCTCATAATTTACTTTATTGGAGCCAACAGTATATTGTCCCTAAAATCCTTAAATTTCAAAATTATAGAATTGCAACGTCTTCGATTGGCTTATCGCTTTGCAGTCCTTTAAAATTAACGGGAGCCAACGATATATTGCTTGAGTTATACGATGTTGTTGAGTTATTCTATTTTAAAGATGATAAGTTAAGAGTATTATTATTAAATCAGTGAAGATTATGCTATAGTGAGTTTGAATATCCTCAAAGATATCTGCGCATCAACCTAAATTTTAATTTATTAATTTTGTTTATTTTATTTTCAGGTGTAAATTATTGTATTTGTGGTATATTACACCAATATAATATAATTTTTATATATATTAGATTAGGCACATAGTTTCTATTTGAGTTATGTATTAGTAAAGAGTGTTTTTTCTAAATAAGTCTCTATATGGCGTGAATTTAAAAATTCTAATACAAATATAGGACATCGAATGGATAAAAAAAATTGTAATGTTTTCTCATGTCAAAATGATTTTAGGACAGAGAGATCAGCAACCTTAAATCTTAAAGCAGATTTTGACTAACGACCACAATGTTCAGACATCCAAAGATAAGAGTAATTTCCCTATATAGTCACTCATGTTTGTGAAATTACCTAGGAATATCACTTATGTTTATTTTAGGACTATAATATCACCCAATTTTACCTATTTTCCTCAAAATATACTTGACACAATAAATACATTATTTTTTCCCTACTAGGATGCCATGTCACATTATTCCTTTTTTTTATTTTATTATTAACAATTTTTTTAAAAAAAATTTAGACAATCCATATACTATACCCAATAAAAAAAAATTACATAAGAAACTCTAATATGAGCTCCTCCGATTCTTCAAGAAAATATGCGGCTTTGTCCGGTTCTTCAAGGAATAAATTAACGAATTTGCATAAGGAACTGTCTCCTGAGCCGTTGTATACCTTTGATGACCAAAAAAATCGCCACGAGGTAAAATTCAAGTTTTCTTCTAATTCTTTTATTTTTGAAGTGTAAATTGTGAAATAACTTGAATACTTAACATGATATTGGAGTAATTTCTTAAAATTTAGGAGTTTTTTGCTTGCTTGCTTGTTTTTGAATCGGATATTTCTATTGTTTGAATCTGCCTAAGCTTTGAACAAATGTTTATAGTTTGTATAAAATTCTTTTTTTTTTACCATGAACAAGAAACCTTTGATTTTTTACCGTGAACAAGCAACGGATGTTTATAGTTTGTGTAAAAATCAATGTTCCTAATATCTAGTTTATCTCTAAATATCCAACTAAATTTATTGTTTCTTCCTCACCTTCAAGTAACTAGTTTAATTTTTTCCTCGACAACAAGACTAAATTTTTGTATGGATATAATGGCAAATACTCGTAAATGAAACATAGGATAAAGATTTTCGCTATAAAATTGAAGTAACTAGATTTTCATAGAGAATGGATTAATGCTCTCTTATACATTAAACAAGCTGTCATTTAAAGAATTAAAAAAATATTATTAATAAATTAAAAAATGTGACATGGCATCCTAGTAGGAGAAAGATAATGTATTTTTTGTGTGTTAAGTATATTTTGAGAAAAATAGGCAAAGTTGGGTGATATTGTAGTCCTAAAACAAACATAAATGATATTCCTAGATAATTTCCCAAACATGGGTGACTATCTAGGGAAATTACTCGTAATGTAGCATTAGGCCAATACAAAAATTCTTTAAGACAGGCTGCCATTTTAGTCCTCACACATACTCCCTCCGTCCCTATTTACTTGTCCATATTTCCTTTTTTGGTTGTCCCTATTTAGTTGTCCATTTTGACAAATGAAGAAAGGACAACAAATTTTTTCCTATTATACCCTTATTTACACTTCTTGAAAATTGTAAAAGTGTATGTTGTTTCCCTCCAATTTATTTCACTTGAATTCAAATAAGTGGTTGTAATTTTGAAGTGAAAAGTTGTCATAAGGGTAAAATTGTAACTTCACTGTGCTAATCATTGTTGCCTTAATCTGTGTGTCATTTCTTAAAGTGGACAACTAAAAAGGGACGGAGGGAGTAGTATTAACTTTAGTAACTCAATAACACATCTTCAATTAGTCAAAAAGAAGTAAAAGGGTAACGATGGAAAAAAGTACAAATACCCATACACCTCATCTACCAATCAATCAAGGCTACTAATTCTTGATTTTTTTCCCAAAGAATTTGTGTATCTGGTAAGCTAAATTCAAACCTATAAACTGAAAGTTTCAATTTTTTTCATAAGTTATATGATGATTAATTTTGCCCCCTTTTTCTCAGAAAATTAATGGTTTTCAAGAAACTTGTATTGATGATGATGGGTTGTCTAGGATGTGCTGGTCAGCCCACAGAGCCTTCTACTGAGAAAACTGAATCCAAATCACTTATAGATGAATCTGTTGTTGTCACTTCACCTAGAGTCAAACTTGGTGATGGTAGATATCTTGCTTATAGAGAAAGAGGGGTACCCAAAAACATATCCAAATACAGAATCATCATTGTTCATGGCTTTGGCAGTTCTAAAGAAATGAGCTTTATGGCTTCTGATGTATGTAGATTCTGTTCCTCTTTCAATTTTTTTGATTTGTATCTATACACCATAGTTTCTTGATTTTGAATCTTACTTTTCACTGTTTGAGACTGATACTTAAGCATTAAAGTGGTAGAGAATTGTGAATTTGGTATCAATATCATAGATTTGAAGAGAGAGGGTTGAAATTAATAGATCCATAAATGGTTGTTTTTTTTTTCAAGAACAATTGAACTTGGCATTACCTGGTTAGAACTATTGTTTACTGCGATAACTGAAATGGCTTCAAGACAGAGTAAGTTATTAAAAATCTCTTCTGCTTTGGGCTATGTTGCGCGGATCCTCCAAAAATGCACTACTTTTGGAGGATCCGACATGCAGTTGGAGATATTTTTGGAGAGTCCGACCAACATTGGTTTTGTGGTTAGCATATTTAGATTCTTTGAGGGAGTGGGAAAGTGTGTTCTTTTTGTGCTGAGGAGATGTTATTCTTGAATTAGCTTGTCTAAAATGTCTAGTTTAGAATGATCTAATATTGCTCTAGTTGCCAGGAACTTCTTGATGAATTGGGGATATACCTTTTGATCTTTGATAGAGCTGGATATGGAGAGAGTGATATAAATTCAAAAAGGTCGCTTAAAAGTGAAGCGTCTGATATTGAAGAGCTAGCTGATCTGTTGGAATTAGGATCCAGATTCTACGTAATAGGTGTGTCGTTGGGATGTTACCCGGCTTGGAGTTGCATCAAGCACATTCCTGGAAGGTTAGAGAACTATCTCGTGAGTTTTTAGTTTGTTGGCTTTACTGGTTAAGGTTTAGGCCTATTAGATTTTACTTTTGAAGTATAATGCATTGCAGGCTTGCAGGTGTTGCTCTCGTCGTTCCCTTTGTCAATTATAAATGGCGCACACTGCCTAAGGATCTAGTGAAGAATGATTACAGGAAACAACTCTCTCGGTGGGTAATTTGGATCACATGTTATGCTCGGGGGATATTACATTGGTGGTTGACTCAGAAAGTTTTCCCATCAGCGTCTGTTCTTGATGGAAATCCTCAATTTTTCTGTGAGAGAGACTTGGAAGTGTTGAAGAACACACCGGGATATCAGTTGTTCACTCAGGTAACGTTCCATTCAGACAAAAAAAAGAACACATTTTGTATGATCTGCTGTATCAGAATCGCTATTCTGGTTGTTGGCAGTAGAAGTCACTACACGTTTAACTTTTGTAAATATATGATCAGAAGCTGTACTTTAATTTACAGGATGGCCTTAAGGACCGAAGTGTATTCGACTCCCTTTGTAGTGACATTAATGTAGCTTTTGGAAAATGGGATTTTAATCCGTTGGAGCTAACTGACCCATACCCACAAAACGAAAGCTCGGTTCACATCTGGCAAGGTGTCAAAGACAAAGTTGTGCCTGTTCAGTTACAAAGACACGTCTCGCAAAGGCTGCCCTGGATTCGATATCACGAAGTTCCTGACTGTGGTCACTTGCTTGTGTATGACACTGCAGTGTGTGAAGCTGTCTTGACATCACTTTTGCTTTGGGAAGATCCTCCATTATACAAGCCAAAGTTAGCAGATCACTAAGTATTTATTCCCTGTAAGTAGATTGATTTCTTGAAATTAATTAATACAAGTGTGATTGATTTGCATTGTCTTCATAAACTTTTTGAGGTATTTCAACTGTACTAGACATAGATATTGAAACATAAAAGGGAAGGATATCTTTAAGGCGACGAGACTTGCTATTACGGGTATCAGTTTTCATTGAAAAATCTTGTCAAAGAATGATTGACACCCCCTTTCTCTCCTATATCTAAACTGAAACTGAAGCTAAAGTGATTGAGTTTTGTAGATCTGCGTGCTGTAGCAGATTCATCAAGTTGGATGCATACTGCTAAATAACTTTACTTGTTTTCATCTAAGGTGCATCGATCGCAACACAATAGAAATCAAACTCGAGTATGCAGATTACTATGTTTGACAATTTTTGATGTTTTTGTATGTATTCAAGAAGAATTAAGACAGATAAAGGGACTTGGTTGAGCTTTTCTGCAAATAGAAAACTTCATACTTGAATCTTGATTGTTTTTTTTTCCTCTCTTTTAATGAGAAAAGAGATCCCTTACGAAAAGAAAAGGCCTTGAAATGTTATGTGCCTTAGATATCAAGACAAGACACGCAAACTATATAAACCATTTCAATCACTTTCATGTTCTTAAAGCAAAGAGTTGAAGTTTTACATAATGATAAGCGTAAAACACACTAAGATTAAGGTACTCAAGTGGTTGACATCTCGATTGTTTAATAGGATAATGTGAGTCCGCTCTTTGGCATAGTTAAAAGAAAGAATTTGTTCTCTTTTGAGTTTCAAAGACACTAGAAATGTCAGATCAATTTGAGAGTTACGCTATGAGCCTAGCTATCACATAGGGGCTTGCTTGCAAAACTAACGCTACCATGACACTACATTGTGCCTGACAACAACAACAAACCCAAATTAGTTTTACAAAGTGGGGTATAGAGAGGGTAGAGTGTACACAAACCTTATCTCTACTTCAGAGGTGATGTACTTTGGTGGTTTTTGATAGACCGTCCGCTCAAGACAAAAATAGTCTAGAAAAAAAAATGTAATGTATGTACAAGAGCCAATAGATAGTAACAAAAACAACCGATAGTAAAAGAACAAGAAATTGCAAGAGTAATCCTACAACTCTACTAGTAAAGGAGACAGGACAATGTACTCGTTCCTACTAGTATGGACACACTCCTACATACCAACCTTCTTCCAAAATTTGTGTTCTCCCGCCTTCCTATCTGAGGTCATGCATAACTTGCAAATACCGAGGCAAGTTACCTAAAAGTTAGTAATTGTTACCTTTCGGATAACTCTTTATTGTAAGAATTGACTGAACCTACCATCGATGGCAACTGACCAATTGTAACAGTTGAAAATTAATCAAGAATTACATCTTCCAACATTGTTTTTAAAAAATCGAACTCCTCAAATTTAGGACTGGGCTGAGTTGTTGCATCGTCAAACTCGGTAGATCTGTCTGGGCCGGCTATTTTGACGGCGCAATGGATAGTTTACACTTTGCAGTTAGATTGCTTTGTTTTGTCGGTAACAATTCACTTATTAGTCAAACAAACACCAATAGAAAAATGATATATTCGATCCATTTTTTTCTCCTTCTTTAATTATTTTTATCTATTTGTCCTTATGTACTTGTTTAATTTCGAAAATCAGGTGAGCGGCTTCAATCATATTTGCTCAAAATTCCATTTTATAAAAAATGTCAAGAAAATAAATAAATAATACACCATTCGGGGTGGCCCAATGGTTTGAGCTTGAGACTTTCATGTTGGAGGTCTCAAGAAACCCCTTGCCAGCGAAAGCAAGGGGTTTACCTTCTGGGTCGAGCACGTCGCACTAGGCTTGTCTAGTGCGGGTTACCTCTCCTATTTGGTTTGCGAGCTATTGCATAGGAGCGGGAGTTTTACCCTATGCGCATCAAAAGGATAGCAACTGCGGATTTCCCTTGTCATAAAAAAAAATAAAAAATAAAGCAATTGATCATTCTACTGTTAGGTGAATAAGAACCACTAGATTTCCTCAATTAGTTGACATTTCACAACAATTAAGGACTTATTACTATTAATTTCTACATCAAAATTGTTGAAATTCTTACAAATGTTCAATGATTAGCGTCGACAAAATGTAATTAATAAAGACACTTTGATCATCATCGATACAAGTAGGTTCATTTCATTCATCACCTCCGCATGCCCAAATCTGTCAAAGCGTGAATGGTAATATTATGATCAAACTACATAAATCCCACTAGTTTAGGTCCTAATTACTAAAATTCTCGATAGTTTTAAATATTACTTTCTATACCATATTTCATTCATCCTTTGGATACATGTATCATTACTAATTGTCAAATACATGTAGCCGGTGGCTGTCCTTTGGATACATGTATCATTACTCGCCAGATACATGTATCCGGCGATTTGAATATTCGAGATACATGTTTTATTAATTTTGAATTAAATGTGTGTAACTGATTTCCGTAATTAGAGGAGTAATTGAGGCTTAATTAACCACTCTAACAGATCTAGATATCCTTAGTGTATCAATTTTAACAAATTTTCCTAAAATAACGAAATCATAAAACCAAACTAATTCTTTAATTGTAAACTTCATCTTCTTGGCATCAATTTGTTTATTTCTCTTCCTTGCGATTGTGAGTTTTTTCAACAATGACCAATATCACCATATTACTTTCTATGCCAGATTTTGTCCTTTGAATACATACATCATTACTCGCCAGATACATGTATCCGTCGGTTTGAATATTCGAGATACATGTTTACAATATCAAATTAATTGAGGCTTAATATCTTGGATACATGAAAAGGAAAAGTCGATTTGAAAAATCGAGATACATGTTTACAGTTCCAAATTAATTGAGGCTTAATATCTTAAATACACGAAATGGAAGAACTCTATACCAGAAACATGGTAATAATGTAACAATAGTAACAAACCTCTACATATAATGCTAATTATTATCAAGATTCAGTTTTAATAGTTGAAGATGAAAATGCGATTTGAGAGGATGAAGGAAGTGAGAGATGGTGGTGGAGGACGTGAGGGTGGTATGATGAGAGTTACGGTTGGATAAGGTGATTGGCAGAGGGATATGGCTGGTGAGAGAGAGAATTCAAATTGTTAATGTAATTGGCAGGGGGGTATGACTCTCTTTCGAGAAAAAAATGCAAATTGTCAAATGACTATTAATTTAGGTTTTTAAATATATAGATAATTAATTAATTCTATTTTTAAGAAATTTGTATATTTGATTGTATTTTTTAAAATATAAGGTATAAAATAATAAAAATAGTAATATATGTAATTATTTGAAACTAGAGGTAAAACTAATATATATAGTAGTGATGTATGTCTAGTTAAGTAATTTTTCCTAATATTATTCGCTTAGGCCCAATAATATTTTGCGGATTTGTTTCCAAACTCATTGACGAGTCCAAAAGAGAATCAAACAGAAGATCAGATAGGCATATTTTATCATTTATGACAAGTGTCACCTTGCAACTTACACTACATTTTTAATGATCATTAGCGGTAATTAATTAACGGCAATAGCTTAATTACTATTAAATATGTATTTTTAGCGGCAATCAGCACTCTTTTTATATGTTCCTAAAGCCTTTAGCGACATTGGTTCTAATGACACTTAACTAATGTCAGTAAGACTTTAACACTCTTTATTAATGTCTATATTTATTGTCGCTAAAAATTGTTTTTGTTGTAGTGTTAAAGTCTTCTTATTTCCAACTCGTGAATGTTATTATAAATAATATAGAACTAGAATCAACTATAGAAATTTTAAACGAAGCATGGTCTCAAGTAGTAAGGCAACTGATTTTTAGGTTTGAATCCTTCCATCCAAGAACATATATTTATATTCTTGCCTTTACATAGTTAGGTTAAAAACCTACGTTTTAGTTGAAACATCAACGTTGTCGCTGTTTTTTTTTTAAAAAAAACTAGCTAAGTACTACTTTTGGTTTTGGACCACCAAAACAATTAGTACCAATTAAAGAATAATTTTACATATCATTAAGGCAAAACCTAATTACTAAAACGACATGAGATTTTAATAATAAAGATTTGGTCATAATCATTTGGTAGTACAAAAACTACTAAAATTTAATTCAGTAAGCGAAAGCACGCTGATAATGACAGGTAATGCATTTTTAATTTCCACTTTAATTAATTATATTTTCATAGGTTAATTTAAAATCCTAATGGCAATCAAAAGTAGTGGAGTATTTAAGTGTAAAATGATTTACTAGACTAATTTAAAATATTTATTATTTCCTATAAATTTTCCTTAAAAATGTTTATTTTACTTTTCAAATATTTTTTTATTTCGAAAATGTAGTCCAAAAGAGAATCAAACAGAATAATTCTACTGTTTTGTTTTCGATTTTATTATTATTTGTATAATGTATTTGTTATTGTTATGGTTCTTTTCTCCATTATTTTCGACATGACTTCTTCACTATTGTATTTCTCTTTCCTAATCATTTGATATGTTTTACTTGTGTCAAGGATACATAGGAAATAACCTCTTAATCTTCACAAGATAGGAATTAGATTGTGTACACACTACCCTCTTCAAATTCCATTTATGAAATTACATTGAATAGATTATCATCGTGTCGTTGGTACTACAATGTTTGTTGAAATATGAGTAACGTAACAAAAAAAATTGACAATTTCTTGAACCTTGAAGCGTCGTAGCAAGTTGAAAATCTATTTGGATAGCCAATATCTTCGTTTTCATCAACCCAAGAGTTGATGAAATTTATATTGAAACGGAAAAAAGAACAAGAAAAAAAAGGGTTTAGAAAAAGCAAATATGCAACTAACTTCCTCATATTCATGGGAGTGGATGAATTAGGTATTCATAGCAACTAATTTTTGCCTTTTTTTCTTTCCCATTGAAGAATCCACATGTTGTTACGTGTGTGCCATACTTGTATATACAATTTCCCTTTAATTCTTTTTGTGTTTTTGTTTGATGTTCAGTATTTATATTTGGGCTTAATTTATTTTAGATTCATACAATATAGGATTCATTTATGAGGACAACACCCCTAATAAAAAAAATTCAATTTCAAGGAGTTCAAATCATTCTGATTAAAGATAAAAGAATTCCAATCATCTCACCACATACCATTTTAGTATATATACAATCTCCCTACTCCACCCATCTCACCACATATATACTTGTTTATTTTATTGAATTTAATCCATCATATACAAGTTCTCTCCATTTCTCTATTAAATTATACACAACTTGATAGTCTCTTCATGCACACCAAGAGCAAGTCACCCTCTCAATTAACATCATATATCTTCCATTTGCAAGAGACAATTTTATCCAACTAATAATTTGCTTCTTTTTTTCTTTGTTTTTTTCTGTCCCTTCCTCCTTAAAATAATATTCTCAACCACTTCACAGAA